TCGTACACGTTTCTTTGTCTCTCCCTCTCTCTGTCTCTCTCTCTCTCTCTCTCAGTGTTAGCCTGCGGTAGAAAATCCCCAGAATGACACCGTGCGATCCAAATTTCGTGAGAAACACATTGCGCACAGTTTTCTCTGCATACTTGTTGTTAGTTTTCGCCTTCGATCGGTAACCTGTGAATCTTGTCGCTTGACTCGTGAACTTGGAACGATTCGGGATTTTTTTTTTTTCGTAATTTTCACTGGCCAGTAGAGCGGTAGAAAGAAATTCTAGAATACCAGCAGCGTGTGTGTGTGTGTGTGTATGTGTGTGTGATTCTAATTTCGCGAGAATGATCATTGCACGCAGTTAGTTAGTGTTAGTTTTTTATTTTTTTTTTTTTGCCTTCGATCGGTATCTTGTGCGAATCTTGTTGTTACGTATTATTTTGTCGCTTTGACGAGCTTAGAACGATTCATTCGGGATTTATCAACATTTTTTTCTTGCTCTCTCCGGGTCTAGTCTCTTCAAGGTTGGCGCGAGAAGTTCCAGATTTTTGGCGCTCTTTCTTCGTTTTAATTCCTCGTAGAAACAAAGTTACGCAATTCGCGGCATCGATCCTTGCAAATCCTTCCAGCTTTGTTGTTCCAGCTGAGGCTAACTGAAATTTTGGACACCCACTGTCACGCACAGTTTTCACAGTTTTCAGCTAGATCTATCTGACTTTATCATCCGTAGATAAATTGATAAATTTATTACTCCGTGTTTTAAAAATCCTTTGAAAATAATTTCTCTCAATCACGAGGAAATCTTTAGAAATCGTCGACGCACAGAGTGAAGTTGGCACCGGTGAAGTAAAGATTTTAATGCACATTTGACATTTTCAATGGACATTCAACCGTACGCGATCAATAACAGTACATTTCAATAAGAAACATTCAGAAGCCAGAGAGTAGGTGGTAGATTTTTCTAAGATCTTACCACGGAGGAATACTCTTTTATATATGTACAAGAAGCAGCAGATATCGCAGAGAGAGTGGGTGTTTCTTTTGTTGTTCTTCGTTCGTCACTCCAAATACAATGGATCACGTTGGAAGTGAGAATTGTTTGGACCCTAAGAGGATCGATCGGCGCGGCTTTTTTTGTTCGTTTCGACCGGTTCTCAGCGTTTCCTATGACACATTATAGGTCATCCCATAAACTAATGGCTGTTCTTATGTATACGTAATTAGGCGAGAACGATCATAAGGCTACGAGCCTGTAAATGAACTCTCCATAATCAATAGACTTTCACGCGTTTCATGGGATATTTGCACAGAAATTTCGCTAATGTTTGTTTAGTTTTACACGAGAGACTTTTTGTTTGGTTTGATGACCGAGGTATTTCGTTCATTAAAAACCATCCTGTGCAACACTGATACTTTGAAATTTCATTTAACATTATAATTGGGTCTTTACGATTGATCATTGATAAATTCTGAAACAAACTGTTATTTATTATATGTTTGTATGTCAACTTGTTGGTCGATAAAGACGAAATTGACTCGACCGTCGCATCGAAATTTCTTTTTTACCTCAGTTGTTATAGAAAATCGATTTGAAATAGTCAGTCGGTGCCAATCTGCGATTTATCTCCCGATAAAAATAAATTGGAGCTATCGAAAAGTCAAAAACGACTGGTGTGAGATTTTTCAATTTACGTACAATTATTATGAGAATCGTAAAATTATTTCTGGTAGTACCGAATTTTTCCTTATATTGTCCACGTGCAATGAATTTTAACTTTCTACGCATAGGTATATTATAAATCTTAATATTATAATAATATATCGGTATTATCTTAAATATTATAATAATATATCGGTATTATCTTAAATATATACCATTTATATACCGTATAAATATATACCAATCACACGAAATTAACTACTGCAAGGTTGTGCTTCGTGAAACGTAACGAATATGATATATCTTGGCTGTTACATCAAAAAGCTCGATACTTCTAGCTTTCTAGCAATCTCGTGAAAGCTCTCCTCTGAAGTGCCGGAGAGCATTAATGCTTCTTACTGCATCGCTGCAAGACGACTTTAATGCGTCCTCACACACACACACACTTGCATTCACGCATTCGCGAGAATTATAATTAATATAAACATTCGCAAATCCCTCCGTTTACGTTTGCAAAAGTTTGCCACTCGGATCGAAAGAGATTTGCGGACGAAAATGATTGGCGTGCGGCGAGTAACTTTTGGTCTCGTAATCAGAGGAGGCTCGATGTAAGAATTCGATTAGTTAGCAGATTAATGCCTGTTGAATCCCTTTCACTAGTTACTCGACTATAAATATTTTACTACGAGAGAGCTTTCGCGAAACGCGAAATTTACTAACTCGTTGTAGAGAGGAGAAATTCTTTCGCACGTGCATACAGAAGAAATTCAGAAATTTGAATACACCTCATTAAGAAATGAATAAATTTCCTTTGCGTTTCCTTTTCGCGGCTGAACTTATCCCTTTCTTTTTTACATTCACTCGTGTCGCGACACAATATAATAGATTTCTTACGTCAATTGGAAATAATTAATTAATTCTTTTTGTAGCTGATTATGCTTGATTATGGCAGAGAATCGTGTGAGAGTTGACCTTCTGAGTGCTCATTAAATATTACCAAGAGTCTAGATCACATCGTATATCAACGAGAGTCGTATGAAAGAGCTTACATATTTCTTTACTGGCCATACTTTAATATTGAAATGAAAATTCAGAAAAAGTAACGATCAAGCGAACGTATTATTTTATTTGCAAGGGGAATGCTCGAAGGGTTAATCAAGAATTATTTCAACGTAAAGCTATCCATTTCCACAAATATAAATCTGAATTGCAAATTAAAAAATTCTCAAGTCTTTTTTCACGCAATTTGCAAGCAAAAATAAATTCATCAAGAGAGGAAAAGCTACGTCGAGCTTCGTGAATTTTTCCCTCATAATTAATTAACGGAGAATTCCGATCGCTCTGAATGTTCATGAACGCGACTTTTCAACTTGACATCCCGACTTCTTCCAAGTTCAAATTCATTCTTACAAAAATGGCCGAGTTGTTGATTGTTACCACGAAATTAAATTAAGATTAATTTCCCTCGAACAAGGGGGAAAAGTCACAGCGACAATTTACACGATACTCGTTTCTTTCTCGTACGAAAAAAAAAAAAAAAAAAGAGGGAAGANACGAAGAGTTGAGGTTCGAAGAGTTGCTGGGTCTTCTTTTTTTTTTTTTTTTTTCAATGCAATGCAATATTTTATACGCAGGAGGATGGTTAAGGGTTTGCGGACTGTGACGTTTCGATGAGAAAATGCCACGATGCTGCGGCGCGTCTTTGGTTTCCGTCGTGGACGGCGACGGGTCTCCGCAGAGTCTCGGTTTGCAGATTCAGGACGGTCAGTAATTAACGATAATTGCCTATTAAGTTTTGCTCGCGTCCCGTTTCTGCGAACGTTTCACCATTTCTTTTTTTTTTTCTTTTTTTCTTTCTTTCTTTCTTTCACAATCACGAGAATTTAACGCGAATTTATGGTATAATATAATCCGGAAGGCGATGAAAAGTAACTCGATCTTCTCGATACGGTTATACCTGTTTCATTAGGATAATTAACAGTCTCGTGGACAGAACCACGATCATCGTTCGTGACAAGAATTATTCCATTAAATTATAATTTAATATTACCCCACTGTGTCAATTATAAATGTAAATAGTGGAGCGGCAGTCGTGTTGTTAATTTTCAAGCATGTTCCGAGAAATTCGAAACGTCCGCGAATGAGTTAAATTGATTTATCCTGATCAACGATAATGTCGTCTGCTATTTTCATATTGCGTGACGGTGGAAAGAGGTATTTATTAAGCAATTTGCATCACGATTTGAAATGCACGATGAATTACCGATGCTCTGATTTAAATACTTCTTTTTCTTGTTTTTATTAACATTAACCGACAATTATAAAACAAAAGCATAATACCAATAGATTAAATATAAAATTCCTGGTCGGTCATAAATAAATCATGAACAAGTGAATTAACCACTTGCGCTGGCAACTGATTGCGGACCGTAACGAGTGACCAAACCGTACACAATAATTCGTCGCCATCTTTTTCTTTTAAACTCGTCGGTACGAATATCACTGGATAGAAATTATCGAGAAGTAATCAACTAATCACTTATTTTGCCCTGGGTCATACATAAATATACTTAAAACTGTAGAAAATATTGAGCCGTATACAGTAATTCGTCGCTTTCTTTTTGAACGTCGGTATATCACTGGATAGAAATTATTGAGAAGTGATAAATTTATTATTTACTTTGCCCGAGTTATGTTAATATTACTTAAAACTGTGGAAATGTTGCAATTTTGGGTGACAAAAAAAATTCTTGACGTGCGTGGCACGTCATTCTAGCGCAAAAGGTTAACCAATTGCGCTGGGCAACTGATTGCGGACCATAACGAGTGACCAAGCCGTATACAGTAATTCGTCGCTTTCTATTTGAACTCGTCGGTATATCACTATAGAAGATAGAATTATTGAGAAGTAATAAATTTAAGACAGAAATTATTGAGAAGTAATAAATTTATTATTTACTTTGCCCGAGTTATGTTAATATTACTTAAAACTGAGGAAATGTTGCAATTTTGGGTAACAAAAAATTCTCGACGTGCGTGGCACGTCATTCCAGCGCAAGCGGTTAAACACGTAAATCGAAATCGAAAGTTTCCGTGTATCACGATTGCTACAATGTGTGCATGCAAGCGAATGAAATTTACTCCAGTTAGAATAAGAACAGATTATCTTGTACATTTTGATGCACCAGTGGTAAAGATCTTTGCAATTTATTCATGTTCTTCTGTAAGCACGATCTCTACAATCTTCTTCTGCCGAACGAAGTAACGTTTCAGATCTTTATGTTTTTCTGAGACGTATTTTAAGTACGAAGCAAACAAGCGTTTGGTTTTCTTTTTCTCTGGATGTTTGCAGGCAATCCTCGAAATAAAACGGCGCTAGCACCTGGCCACAGCCTGATGGACTGGATCCGTTTAGGGAACTCTGGCGCCGATTTGACCGGCGTTGGTGGCGTTCCACGGGTCGTGACACTGTCCGAACTGGCCAGTCACAATAAGAAAAACGACGCCTGGATCGCGATTCGAGGTACGCTGCGCTTTTCTTTTTTTTTTTTTTTTAATAATTATATTACACGCTGATCGATGATCGATCACGTTTTTAACACCAAGAAGTTGAAAAAAAAAAAAAAAATCGAAATTACTGATAGATCGAGGTAAGATGAATTTTATGCACTAAAATAATTTCTTCCAACATATAGTTCCAAAAATCGTGGAGAAAACTCGTCAACGCGTGTTCTCAATTTTAATATCAAATTCCAGGATTTTTAAAATTTCTCGTTTTTTTTTTTTCCTGAAAGTTCCTGGTTATGAATTAATCGATAAAACGAGAAAGAAATGAGAGAATTCGCGGAAGAACCTTATGTCATTTTGTTATAAATAAACATTAGCTCTTAATTAGATGTTTAAATTAGCTTTGGAATTATTAGGCATAATTAGTTTGGAATTATGCGTTTAATTCCAATTCGAGTTCCTAGCCTGTCCAGTTCTTATTTTTGGTCAATATTTCATCGTCACCTCGCCAATATTTCTTTTACTAACATTTAACACATCTGTATTTTTAGCATTTAATATTTTCAGACATTAAATACCTTAATATATTCTCGGCCGATAACGTCATTTCAAATTCTTCAGCTGAATGCCGGTAACGTCATTTTTAAATTTATTAACTCAATACCGGCAATGTAGTTCTACCGGTCATTTCAAAATTGGCGCAACAAAATTACAATTTCCATTTGTCCAATGAACATTCAATAAATAAGTGAACAATAATGTTGCAACTATCCAAACTACAGGGATTTTCCCGCCAAACTGCGAGAGCTTACTCTAGGGGCCAAAGGGTGAAGAAAATATTATATGAAGTTTGCGAATTTTATTATTATATAATAATATTGTAATATTATATATTGTAATAATAATATTATAAATATAATTATATAATAATATATAGTTAATACAGTGGTATCAAGTTTGCAAAGTAATAACACTTGTACGGTAAAAAATTGATTATTCATCAAATTTTTTTATTAAAATTATCAATACTTTTATTTTAAATTTTTATTAAATTATAAGATATATATATTAAATATATATATATATATTATATATATAATTAGATATATATATTATACATAATTGTAATAAAGATATATTATATATATTATATATAATTTAATAAAAATTTGAAATATATTATATATATTAATAAAAATTTAAAATAAAAGTACTGATAATTTTAATAAAAAATTATATATATATATCTTTAATTATTTAAAATCATATATATTTTTTTAAATGTTAATCATTTAAAAGAAACCCTTACTACGAAAGTAGAAGATTATTTTGTGAATAATGTTTTTATGCGTTAATATTTTGTCTTTCTTTTGCATTACAAAGAGGAATCAATTACTATTACATCGTTCAATAATGTGGAGTTTCCAAAAAAAAAAAATCTGCAAATATTGTTTCTACGCGATAATTATTATTAAAATATCGGGAACATTGACTGAGGTTTCGCAGAACGACTTGCGATTCTTCGAAGACAAGAAAAATAAGCGACAGTCACGAGGAGGAGGAAATAATGTAAGGCAGCGTTGATCCGTCCGCTTTTAGTTCGATTAAAAATTTAGTTGCCAGTTGCCACTTTGCCGAATGACGTCGAATCGCTCAATATTTATTCCATGTCCGTCACGGATCTCTGGCCAGCCTATTTCAATTCCAGCTATGTTTGCCGGCTGTATTTCTACGATCGTGACCCCACATATTAGATGAGCTATGACTCAGAATCGGAGAAGTCCTAGCCGAACGCAGGAAGTACGGAAAGGCAATTCAAATAATAAATCGTGTGCAAAAGAATAATTATAATTAGTGAAGGAAATACATGATTACTTCTTTATCAATAACATTATTATATAATTGATTATACATCACCGCTCGAAAGTCCTCGTTTCCAAAGTTAAACTTTATGCAACAAAGAATCTGTGAAGTGTCAGTATAGAAGATATTCGTGCAATTGGAAGATTTTATTATCCGCTGAATCATCAGATGAATACCGAGTATTCAAAATAAAATTTTTGCACACTTTTATACTTTGTTATAATTAATGTTATGTTTAAGATTTAACTATCCATCGTTGACAAAAAAAAAAGAAAAAAAGAAAAAAAAAAAAAAAGGAATGTTTGAAACAAAACTTGGAGAACAGAGATTTGTCTAGATGATCTGAAAAGATCGCCAGCACTCTTTTTAAATGAAATTATACGTTTCTTTAGCCTGCTCTCGAAAGAAGGGGTATTAATCTTTAAAACCATTCGTTTAGGAGAGATGTTGCACGAAAGAGGAGGACGAGACGCAAGAACATCGACTGGTAATTTTCACGCATTCGTTATAATTTAATCTAACTATTCTTTCAGGTATCGTTTTCAACGTGACGCGATACATGGACTTTCATCCGGGTGGTATCGACGAATTGATGAGAGGCGTCGGCAAAGATGCCACGAAACTGTTCGAAAGCGTAAGTTCCAACGACGTCCGACCCGCCGGGTCTGATCAACGACGCCGATCCGTGATTTGATTTTACGTACCCATAGATCGTTCGTTGCAGGTGCACGCTTGGGTCAACTATCAAAGCATCTTGCAAAAATGCGTGGTCGGGAGGCTGAGCCGTGGATCGGCGAGCGGTACCAGCCCGTCGCCGACGGAGAACACCGTGTCGAACACGGCCGATTGTTCGTCGGCGACGTTGAACCAGATAACAAGTTGCACGAGTGAGTAAATCAACGTGGCGCACGTCGATTCTCCGATGTCTCTTCTGTCTTCTGGCCGACATAAACGAACGAAATGAAAGGAGGAAAAAAAAAAAAAAAAAAAAAAAAAAAAAAAAAACATTCGCGGTTTTTGAAATGCCGCTTTGTGCCCCATCTCGGATTAAATCGTTAGAACAGTTTAAATGTCAGCTAACTATGTTTGCCTCGAGTGTACATCAGAGATACACTGGTTTTTGTACTTGTTATTTTCGTTTGGAACATTTCGAAGCCCTCTGAAGAGTTACTCTCGAAGAGCGATTCGTGGAATTATGGACGTGTATTATTATGGGACATGATTGAGTAGAATATATATTTTATTCACGGAATGTAATAGAGTTATGGCAAAAACATATTTGGGAATTTTACGAATGATTATATATATATATTTGAATTTATATTTTTGAATTTGTTTGAATTTATATTTTTCGAATATATGTATGTATATATTTTCTGAATTTACACGTAATAAATTTTATTTAATAATAATTAATTTATTTGGAATTTTATTTTTAAGAATGGCACGTACGTGTTTGTTTCTTCAATTGTTTTACGTAGGAATTATATTAACAACAAAATTAAGATTTTTTAGGTAGATGTTGCATAATAATCCGCCATGGCTTGGCTTCTTCCAGATCATTTCATTTAATTAATTTAATTTATATTCAAACAAATAGTTGATAATACGATCTATACAAATTTATTAATTTATCATATCAGAATATATACCATATTCATAGAATACAATAGAGCAGAATACACATTATATTCGTAGAATATTTTCATATGTTTAATATGATATAAATGTTCTAATATTTGAATATTTTAATACAAAATCAACACTCAGCGTCTCTTACGACTATAAATATAAACGTAAATATAACAATATTTGCTGTGTTTACTGAAACGTCAATAGTTGACAGTTGTAACCGATCACGTAAGAAAAAAATTAGAGAAATGAAGAGACGGTTGTTCGAAGGTGACCGGCGATTGACATAATGCTTATAATAAACGAGATCATCGGTAACGGGTAACTAGTTGAAGTTTGGAGTTGAAGGTCTGTGTAACGCGAAGGTGAAATTATATCAAGGTGATGATAAAGTTTATTTTCATTTATTTAATATTATATATTATTTTATTATTTAATATTTATTTAATATTAATTTTCGTCATTAGGTTCTACGACACATTTTCCATACACCAGCCAAATCCCAGGTATATTCAAAAACATTTGAAAGTATGGCAATTCGAAGTGCTTGAAAATTTACGCTCTAAATGCTTACCAATCTTTCTAAAAAATCGAGGACAATGAAAGAAATTGTTACGTGCGTTCTGTGCAATTTTTCCAAATTCTGCTTCAATATAGTTATCATCTTCGTTGAATTTTAAAATTTCTGCTCGGGAAATTTAACAAATTGAACGGTGATTTGAATAATTCTGCGAATTACTCGACGAGAGTGGATTTCGAAAACTTGAGAGAATACTTAGATAGTAATTGTTATTATAAAATGTTCATTCGATCCCCTTTTTCTCTCCTTAAAAAAAAAAAAAAAAAAAAAAAAAAAATTCAAAAAAAAAAAAAAAAAAAAAAAATTCGAAATAAAAGACTTTAATTGTACTTTTGGATTGCTAAATATCTGTTGATGTTTCAGCTCATAGCGCTAGCCAAGAAAACGCGTCAGACAGTGGTTTATCGAGTATAAAAATGGAATGGAAACAAACAGTACCATCGGTCACATTCTTCTATAAAATAGCTCGTCATTGTCCAGGCTTAGGTTATGAATTGCTTAAGAGAACCAATTCGAATTTCATCATTAAATTACTTTTCGATGATGAAAGACTAGTGCATAAGCTGGACTTAGTAGCGGATGTAGAATGGCCACCAACGTGCACCAGAAACTTTGAAACGATGGAGGTAAACAATTGAAGAAAAAATTCTATTTAACACGTTGACTGTCACGTGAAGTTTATACGTTTCACTTATGTTAATATTTAATTTTTATAAAATGAAAATGCAACGAACAACTCTCTGTTGTTTCACAGTATCCACAGTGTCAACAATTCAAAATTTTATTGATTGCTGCGCATCATTCCATTTCACGTTGTACTGTTGTAACACATATAAAATTAATATTATTACACAATGTTAAACGTTACACAAGATTGAATCAATAAATTTTAATTATCATGTTGTGTCATATTAAATTTCAATTATCATAACATAATCAATTAACTACATCGTAATATATACAAAATGTAATTTATCGCTGATGCAAAATTATATTTTGTATTAATTCAAAATGATGACAATCGGTTTGCTTTGATAAAATTAATTGATCGTTATAGTTTTGAAATATTTCATTTGACATACTTCAATTGTCCAGTGATCGGTCAACATGTTAATATTTTACGTGTCAATATCAAGATTATTGTCAATTAATTTCTTTTTCATTTATCTCTGCGCAATGCAGGTGGAGTTCACGTTTATAAAGCGGCAGAAAATGCCGTGGATGAAATACGGTACTCAATTAGTCACCAAGGACATCACCACTGATCTAATATACAGAGACTACGAAGTAGTTGCGAACGAACCACTTTCGAGTAGAATTCATATGTTGATCGTTCGAGCAAAGGATTTCTTGCAAATTGTACATCCTGGCAGGCACGTAAAACTGAAACTCAACAACTTTGGTGAATATCATTTTTCTTTTCCTCTTTTCGTCAATAAGATCTGCTCATTTCTAATTCATCAGTTTTTCGCTGACTGGTAAATTTGAAAAATTTAATATTAAATTATATAAATATAAATTATATAATAATAATTATATTAGATTATATATATAATAATAATTATATTATATTATATTATATAATAATTATATAATTTATAATAATTTATATATTATATATATAATATATTTATATATTTATATAATATTTATAATTTATAATAATAATATTATATTATATTATATAATAATATAAGAATATATTAAACCAGGCCACGATGCAAACAATGATATTTATGGAATTAATTTCTCGATTTATTGAAAAGAAGGTATCAATTAAAAATAAGCTCAACAATGATTTTAGGCAACTTGTCGCGATCGTACACGCCTGTCCCACCGTGCCTTCATCCTGACGACATGCCGCCAAACTACACAACCAGTTGCCTCTGTTTCATTGTCAAGAACTACCCAAATGGCACTATGAGTCCGTCCATAACAGCTCTTGAGCAGGGCGAAACCCTAGCCTTGAGCGGCGCTGTAGGTGACTTCTCACTAGAACTCTACGATTGTTTTTCTGTCATTCACATACTTGCTGCTGGCACAGGTTTAACAGCGATGCTTGGTATCATTCAACGATCTTTGGGCAAACAGAAAGTGTCAGTATTCCTTCATTTTCTGAAATATCGATCTTTTTAATACTAATCTAGAGAACATATTGGAATTTGATCGTTTGTCTATCAATTTTTCTGGATTTTGTCACAGTTAGATTTCCTCGAGTATTTCTCACGCTACTGTGTCAAAAATCTGAACTTTCATTCGGCACGTTACCATTTTCTGGAATCTTGAATTATTACATATACTTTCGTAGAGATTTGTTACGTTCTAAATTACAAAATTAACGTTACTTCTTGCTCCTTGTGTATTCTGATGAATCGCGTCTAGAGAAAGTTCTTCAAGTAACTTCTGATCTGATAATTCATGTAATCCCGCAGGAAGGCTGTAAATTTACTCTGCTTCAACGAAGACGAAGAAAGTATGTTCTATCATCAGCAATTGGAGAAAGTTTCAGGACAGAAGTGAGTACCATCCAGTCGTCTCTCTTTCTCTCTCAATTTGTCTCGAGATATCACGTAACGTGATAATTTCACAATGTGTTTCAGATTGAAAGTCACGCATATTCTTGCAAAACCCAAAGACACGTGGACAGGCAGACGTGGTCTGATAACTCCTGAATTATTAGAAGAATTAATTGGAGAAAATATTTTCGAAGGGTGTGTTTTCACGTGTGGGCCTCCATTATTCATGCAGACTGCGAAAACGTAAGAACGAGATAAAGACTCCAGCTTTAAAACTCTAGAACTCTAGTTGCGAACTCTGAACTTTGAAGCCCGAGAGTTTTAAGTTTAACCCCAATGTTCCAACTTTGATACAAAAGTACAAAAGTACTTTATACTCTGCATAATTAGAATTAGTAACAAAATTCAATTAAATTAAATTAAATTAAATTAAAAATTCCAAAATTAAGTAAGTTATCGTGATCTTCAATTGTACTTCAGTTAAGAATTAATTAACTAGCAACTTCGTTACCCAACGACTCTCTTCTCCAAGACTGATTGATCAAATCTTTGAAAGGAACAAATATGCTTGGCAGGAACTTTGAGAGTTTTAAGTTCAATCCCAATGTTACAACTTTGCACCTGTCCGACTGCAATTTCTCAAATTCTAAATCTCCAACTCTGGACTCTAATTGCAGTTATAAACTCTGACCTCCGGATCTAACTCTAGGTTTCAACTCTAACTGCAATTTCATAGTTGGACTCTAACTATGATTTTCAACTCTAGTCTTTGATTCTAAACTTTTCTCAAATTTCAGAATTCTAGATTCTAATCTCTAGCTTGTAACCTTTATTATTATTTTTATTTATTTTTTTTTTTGTTTGATATATTTCAATTAATGGCACACGTGTTTTTCAGGTACCTTTCCTATCTTCAGTGGAGTGACGAACTAATTTACGAGTTCAGCGGTTAGCCAGGCTCGTTGAAAGTGCGCTCCGCCTCTTTTAATACGAAACGTTGGAACAACGGCGTACAAACCTGTTATCATTTTTTTCCTAAATTTAGACATGAACGAGTATGGCTAAGTAACTGTTATTTAGCCACGAATTGTGTTACAGACGAGCTGAATTCAGTCAGTCGACGTATAGGTTTAACGACATTCAATTTTACTCACTGGACTGCGAATTTTTGTGTAAACTCAGATCTTAGAAATCCGACGATGATCGACAAGAAAAATAACACACAGAGAAGAGAAGAAGAATAATACAAGTTTCCAAATTTTCCACAAATGCGTAAAAATTCACAGTTTGTCGCTCCGTGCTGATAAACACGCTGAATTGGATGCAATGATCGAGACGTGCGTGAAACTAAACGCTGCTTCTTTAAAAGTGTCTCACTTCGGCTGTCAGAAGCTTGACTTTCTCAGTCAACGTTGATCTAAGTGTCGCGACGCGAGATGTTCCATTTTCTTTCCAAACAACCGACAGACAACCGATATCTGAAAATTTGTACATTTTTTCAGATTTCTCGTCTCTAAAAATAACTGCTGGCGTACAAACTGTGGATTTTTGTGGAGGAGACTTCGAAGGGTACGCAAAAATGCGCAGAAAATGATTTTTATATCTGAACATTGTCTTATTTTAGAAAAGAAACTGAAATTAAAGTCTAATGCCTATTATTATTATTATTATTATTATTATTATTATTATTATTATTATTATTATTATTATTATTATCGGTTGAGAGAGCTCTTATTTAAATTCCACCTCTGCTACAATCTACGTCGTTAGATATCGAAGTTCGTGACATTTAAAATTTAACTGTCGATAGTAGAGTATCTAGGTGACAAAGCGACCTCCTTTTCGCCAGTTTATGAAAATCTTCAGGTGCATAGAAATCTGCTTTATCAACGGGACAACAATTGAAGAGAGGACACGAGTGTACGGGGTTTTCGAAGAGAACCTTTTTGGATACTTTTACTCCCATTTCCGCCCATAGTCTCGGTGTCGTACGTGCGAGCTTCAAGCGACAGATGTTTTTCATTCGAAGGAAAATGAATCCTGTTGTTTTCAATAAAATCGCGATTGGCGATTACTACTTGGCGCTTCTACGCAAGAAACTCGTTAATCACGGATCGGATACATTCGGATTATCAGGATTATTTATTGATTCATGACTGAAGTGACTTGTAAATACACCTTCGTTCTGTACATGTGTCTTTCGTTATACGTTGTCACTTTTATTATCTTCCAAGAGCTGGCAAAAGGATTCAGAATTAATTACAATTAATTTGGAAGAGGCTGAGATCGAAATGTCAATCCCTCACCAGACTTTCCACGTCTTCCTCTTTCGAAGTTCATTCGGTTTTGGCAAACTCGACGTGCAACACGCTGTAAAGAGCAAACACCTGTATATTTGTACTTATTGTTAGTGTGTTAGGTGCGTACACACTTTGTACCACGTGTATCTACGAATTTCGACGAAAAACAAAAGAAAAAGAAAAAAGAAGAAACAATAGGAGTAAGGGTGACATATGAAAGTCTTTGGATTCTACGGGACGAACGTCCGTGTAATTATGCACTTTCTATGCGATTCGCGTGGACAAATTATTTTTTACAAAACGTCGCCTTTCTAATCCATCATCCAGAGAGTTGTATTGTATTTTGAACGATTTATCCGGGAACATTTTCAAACCGCTGGCCAATTCGAAACGATCATGGTGCTATTTGTCAAGCGGCAGGCGTGACTGCAACGTCAGAAAATTCACGGCACGAGCTTTCATCAGATTTTTATGTCCGGATTGCGGATTTCTGTGCGGGAATCTTTTCGACGACATAAGTAAAAAAAAAAAAAAAANAAAAAAAAAAAAAAAGGGTAGAATCTCGGTAAAAGAGTGTTTTATTAGAAAGAAAAACTTTCACTTTGAGTTGTACATATTATTTTATGTTTCGTACGCAGATACAGACGTCTCTCATAGTTTTTATACATATGTTTTTCTATGAAATTTTAGAATTTGCTAGAAAATGCATAGAAATCCACAATCTAACGTAAATTGTGGGGTAAATCTCCGGGTATCAAATTCAGATCGCCGACCAAGTGTGAAGCGTTTCTTACTTCTCGGTGAATTCATGAGAGTTTTGGATATGAAAACACGTGCCAAACAGGGGCCTCATTGAATCATTGTCAACAACGCACGACCTAATCTAATCAGAGAGATTTTTTTTTAGAAGGTACCATGGTTCTTCGATTTTTCACGAAAGAAAAAAAAGAGGACTTGTAATCTATTGAAAAGAAGGGAACGACATCTGGAGAATGTCTGGATTTGTTTTGTATTTTTACCGAATCGAATATTTTTCTGAATCGAGCGCGATTTGTGGAGTGTGTGTGTATTTGACTGTGGAGTTGGCTGTGTTTGGAGAAGAGAACTGTATCTTTAACCGAGTTATGCAGAAGTAACCTACCAACCCTCAAAATGACAGAAAGTTAATTAAACACGCAGCAGCATCAGGCTCCCCGTGATTCTTCTTAATTTTACAATAACCTGTACGTTATGCAATTATTAAATCTATAGGTGTACAGTTTTTTCTATACTTGCACGCTGTTAAACAAGCGATTGAAAAACCAAAAAAGGAGAAACGAAGCCCCTTTCCTTTCTCAAATAAAAATCTGCAAACTAGATTTACTATTCAATTTAGAGAGTTTCGTTGAGAGTTGGTAGCTTTTCGCATAAGCTAGGGCCGTCTAGTGGAAATATCCTGTGGTTGCTGAGCGACACGGGTAGTTTTATTAAAAAATATATATATATATATATAATTATATATTATAATCTATATTATATAAAATATAACATATATATATGTTATAATTTATATTATATATAAAATATAACACATATATATTATAGTCTATATTATATATAATATAATATATATATTAATATAATTTATATATATATATATATATATATATATATATATATATATACGGACCACTTTCTGCATTTACATACATGTTAGATATGCCTATGTGTATGTATATGTGTGTACATAGTTGTTACCAGAAATAAATGAATATTTGATGGCCCCCTTATCCTCTCGTCGTTTCTTTCGCCTGCTTTCATTTCTTTCGAAACTTCTTTGGCAGACAAAACGAAGGAGCATCTCGTTCTTTTATCTGCGAAAGTTTCGCCACAGTTCTCGGCGCTTTTATTTCAAAACCGAACTGACGAGTTGCCAGTGTTTTTTTTTTTTTTTTTTTTTTTTTTTTTTGGCAACGCAAAGGATCTGAAGTTTGAAGGATAGATTCACTTCTAGGAGGCGAAGAATTGATTCTCGTTGTACGTATTTGACAAGTGACAATGAATTTACGAACAAACCAAAGACACGAATTGAATAAGAAAAGAAGTAAGAAATAAACTAAAAGGGACGAATTGAAGATTAAATTTCATTTTAAATTTAATGGGATACTTGGTAAAATTAAATTAAAAATTTCAAAATTAAATATGTTAAAATCTTCAGTTACTGTGATCCTTAATGTCCAATGATACCAGTTAAGAATTAATTAAGCAATTAACTAGCAACTTCGGTAACCAACGATTTTTTTTCTCCAAGATTGATTGATCAAATGTTTGAAAGGAACAAACGTGCTTGGCAGACAACGAAAAATCTTTCTGGTCGCGAGAGTCGGTATCTTCCCAAGGTCAGGGGCTCTGGAAGCCAAAAATCAACCGCGACACATTTTCCCTGGCCAAAAAGATTACGTCACGTTGCAGAGAAAAATTTTACACGATCAATATAGCGCACACTATTCCACGCGAGGTATGGTGGAAATTATAATTAAAACTCTACGAGACACGAGATAGGATTTAGGAAAGTTTTAAATCGATTCTCTCGGTTCTCCATAACACTTTGGACTGTCATACTTTGGTATATAATTCTTGCATATAAAATTAAACTATATAATTAAAAATATAATTTTTGCATATAAAATTAAACTATACAATTAAAAATATAATTCTTGCATATAAAATTAAACTATATAATTAAAAATATAATTCTTGCATATAAAATTAAACTATATAATATTTTGATACATCAGAGTTTCTGAGTTTTAAAATTTCATGTTATAATATGTTGTATAATATATAATATAATTATAATATAACAATATAATAAATTAGTAATATAATATAATAAATTAATAATATAATATAATATAAATATAATGTAATAAATTAATAATATAATATAATATAAATATAATATAATAAATTAATAATATAATATAAATATAATACAATAAATTAATAATATAATATAATATAACATAATAACATTTCAATAATAATAATATTTTAATCTTCTTGAATCAAATAAAAATCAAATGGGATAACACACGCGTGCAATTATCCCACGAGATGTTAAAGATCGAATATCCAATCTGATGCCCAAAGGGGTTGTAAAGTACTTTCTGTGTGCTATCGTGGTTGTTCTTGGTTGCAATTATCACTGTGAAAAATTTGATTTTCCGTTCCTATAATGTCGTTGGATTGCACACGATTTTAGGTAATTTTACGTTACGACTGCGCTCGTTTTGAAGCCTTTCTTTCAAAGATGTTTTTGCATCATTTCAAAGAGGGTAAAAAATTGTCGTAAATTCGAATATTTTCTTTTATTTTGAACACTACGAGAAATATTTTTTCCGAGTTAGACATTCTATAAAAAAATTCTGAACTTTTTTTACAATTACATAAAGTTCGAACTAAATTAAGAATAAAACAATCACGGCCTCGAAGACTGAAGCCTCCCCTTTCACGAAAATCTCTGAAAATCTACGCCGTACGATCCACTTTTCCAATGTCGTCGGGAATTGAAAATTTTTCTCGCCGAGCATACCTACTTAAATATGTAAGCTTGTACTTGAAACGAGAAACGGGGCAAATTTGCCGGGCTCGATTGTCGAAATGAAGGGTGAATTCGAGGAGCAGCGAACGAGGGGCGAGATAATGTAACTAAAATAATGGAAGGATCTTGTGTACCTTGTGTAACTTAATCGGCTGAGACCCGCCGAGGATAACGTAATTATTAACAGGACGGTTAATGGAAAGTGACAGACTAAAAGGCCTATTAAACTCGGTTTTAGAATTATGCCGCATCGTGGAGGAGTACCCGGATCCAACATCTCGAGTAACCTCTCGCTGCCACGAGAATTCAAAATGCAGATGATTTTCAAGAGTA